GCAGATAAAAACGGGCGGAATAGTATCGCACTACGCCGGTTCACGTAGGCCACGCGCGGCCTTTGTTTATCATGGTTATAAATAAAAGGGTTGTTAACAATGTTGTCTTGTTGTGGGAATAGGTTGTAAACGAGGCTGTACAGATCTTGTATAGATATATTTATGTGTCGTAATATACGTATAGAGCTAATTACGAAATTAACTCTTAAGTAAGTGGGCTGATAGAAAATATAAACGAATGTTAACGCACAAGTATATTTGAGAGCTAATTAAACGTGTTCAGACGAAAGCAAGGTTCTAGAATTTTTACGGTTGTAACTGAGATTGGACATAGTTGTGCGTCGTAAAAATGATTACCGGGAAGGAGAATTTAAAAGGAGTACTGCTACATATCACTTTGGCTCGTATGATGTTATTATTTGTATTTGCGATTTTTATCATATAGTAACTAATGCGTACTTTTTTTTTCTTACGAACTCTTAATCCTTCGCTGGCATGCCAAGAACATTTCTTACGCCTCCAACATCTCATCAGTTTCGTTAGGATCTGTATATAGTGGAGGAAGTTGAATTAAATTTAGTTAATTTCGAACATTCCACATAAAAAAACTTAATAGCTAAAATTTCGCACATTATTACCGTTCTGACGTATAACCATAATATAGACTCCAATACCGAGTCTATATTATGGTTTTGAATCGCGCAATGTAGATGAATCTTCATTTATTTTGTTACTTCATGTAGGTATATCATATTTCTAACAAACTTAATAGTTCACTGTCAAGTGTCTGTGTAGCAGTTTTGCGCACGGATAGTTAAGTATTTCATAAGGATTGTTTAAGGGTTAGCGTCTAGGTTATCTATAGTTTTCAGAACCTCTCTATTAGGGTTGACTAGTTACACTAGATCGTCTAGCTGCCCGGTATACATGAATAGGCCTGAAGGATTGATTCTGCATTGATATCACCGTATTAAGTGGACATGACATCCTTCAGCTGTCGTATTCACTTCATCCGATCTGTTGTCGTCGTGGAGACATCGACACCACAAATATAAAAAAACAACTATTCATTATTATATATAATCAGCTCTTATATATCAGCTATTATATATAATGCTCTTCAAAACGGTAAGAAGTGTTATTAAAAAGATTATAGTAGACACACGACACAGACGTAAAGACAATATAATTTTCATTTGGGTAATTTTAGGGTATAAAAAGTATCCGTATAATTAAAGTTACTTAAAATTCCATTGGATAAGTAATTGACAGAAAGTTTTCTTTTTAACGAATTCCTACAGCAATGCGTATGTTTTCATGGTCAACTAATGTGACCAAGTTACTTGATAGTAAAACGTGAAACTCGATTTTATATGAGACTATTGTTTTCTATAGCTGTTTTTCTTATAATAAAAATCAGTTTCTTTCAAAAATGACGTGAAGGGGATACGTAAAGAATACAATTTCTCAAAATAGTGAGCGCAATATTTGAATTTAGAAGGAATAATTCCATAAGTTGGTGAACACTTTAAAGAAACGTGAATAGTTTGCTTTTAAACGCAGTTCACCCATGAATTCTCCTTTGCAATCATTATTCGTATTATTCCCTACTTATCTATTGACTGAAATGTTTATACACGGCAGTTTACTAGAAGGCTCATTAGATCCTCCACTATGTGTTCATTGTTAATTCAACCCTCTACTATGTTTCGTTGAAATACATATTCCTTGAGAGGTAAGCGATATAATTATTCGTTATAGGTTACTGACCTCTCGGTATACTGTATTCATCAAGTAACTGTCATCAGGCCTTGAATAAGGCCAAGTATATTTTATTTGTAATTCGGTCATTGTAAGGTTAAACTAATTTACGGAATTTTTAAACGGTTTTATTTAGCTCGACCCATACGGAATTTGTTTGTTTATTTGGGTCAAAATTAGAAATTGAAATTTAAGCACCTTCCCGTTGTCAGATTGATCTGAAATTTGGTACACAGGTTTAATTTAGATGACAATACAATAGCAAAGTTTTCAGTGCACATAAAATAAAACCGTTTAACTTTAAAGTTTTTAAACGGTTTTATTTATCAAGCGCTTAATTTTGGTTATAATATCCGAAGTTTCACAAACGCACAAGATCGTAACGTCTTAGTCCTTAGTCAGGGCAACTGTTTACTTAATAATTTAGTTTGTCCGATCTACGCAGTACACTTAAAGCTTAGTGTCATGAAATGTTACAGTATTGATTTGTATGTATATATAGTCTGCGGTAGAGCCACGCGCCAGCTTCTGCTGTTGCAGAAATGGGCTGGGTCGTCCGGGGAATTCCCACGGCTTCACAGAAGACGTGATGTGGAAGTATTATACTTTTGTGTTTCGTTTGGTGAGTAAGGTAACCAGGGCTCACTTTTTAAATGGCCGGCAACGCATCTGCAACCTGTTAGAGTTGCAGAAGTCCATGGGCGGCGTTATTCGTTTAACATCATGTAAACTGGCCGTTTGCTTGCTAAATTTTCACATAAAGAATTTGAGTTAATTGCCGAGCACCCAAAATAAATAATTATTTATTAAATTTTAGTCTTTAATATAATTACTATATATATTTATTTATTATTTATTTATTAATTTACATAATATATAATTATGTAAATTAAATTCTTTATGCTAGATAAGGTAAAAAGTCACATAAAAGAAGTTAACGTAAAATGTTACGTAAACTTTATTTCAATATAAATCAAAATTCCCGCCAACAACATAAAAATTATGTAAACTTAATAAATCACTAAATAAATTGGTGGTGCGTGTAGAATAGAAAGAATGGTTGATATTACTTTATCCTGTTATTAAACTATCAATCTACCATTATTGATAAAACTTTCTGTCAGTTCCATGTCCAATGGTGTTTTAAGTTACTTAATTATACGGATACTTTTATTTTTAAAATATACCCCGAAATTACCCAAATGAAAATTATATTGTCTTTACGTCTGGGTCGTGTGTGTCTACAATCTTTTTAATTGGGAGCATGTTTATGGTTGTCAAGTAGTCACGATACTATTTAAAACAGGAATATTGGTATAAAATTACAGTTTCATTGTATATAGAGGTCTATCTACTTGATAGTTATTTAAAAAAATACAACTGTTCAAGTTCTGGATTAGTAATCATCACTAATCCAGAACTTGAACAGTTGTATGTATCTTTTAAAATAGTCTAAAAATAAGATAAGTTTTAGAACGTTATGACATGCTGTACAATGGCTGTCGTGCAATCTGAGTACAGTGACGCAGTAGTATAAGTTTTCTGAGTAAATGAAATTTAACCGCTATAAAAAAATGCTGTAGCTTAAAGAAAGTCAATACTTTTGTTTAGTTACGAACTAATGTTACTTTTTTCATTGCGATGATTTGTCTTGATCAGCGATGTCAGCATCTTTAAAATGTTAATACTTTTTTATAAGCTTTTTTATAAGATAGGTGGGTAGGGCCACGCAGTAGCCTCCGTGGCAGGCTCTTCTGTGTCTTCTTGGGCAGGCTCGTCCGTGTAAGTAACAGGACCTAACAGAAGACCGGCGTAAAGTGGAAGTATTATAAATACTTTTGCGTTTCGTCTGGTGAGTGAGGTAGCCGGAGCCAAATCTTCAAAAGGTTGTCAACGCATCTGCAACCCTCGCGTATAACAGATGTCCATGGACGGCGGTATTCACTTAACATCAGGTGAACCGTCTGCTCGATTGGCAACTTACATAAAAAAAAAGCCACATACTATTACGATTAAAAAGGCTTTTTGTTAACACAGTAGTTTAAACAGGATCATTTAGGGCCATAAATTAATGACAAATGAATTATTTCAAATAAAAAAATATTTTAAAGGTTTTTAAGGAATGTTGTCTCTTCTGAAAACTGACGTTCTCTGTAATTTAACAGAAAACTGAACTGAATTGATTATGTACCCCTGTACATCATCATTTACTAATGCCAGTGGGGATATCGTGCTGCTATTAGAGAATCGATAAAAGACCGATTGCGTCTCATGAGTCCCTTACTTATATTAATTACAATAAATTTAATTTTCTTCATACGATTATTCTACGTAAATTGTTGATGATGATATACGTTGGTACTAGGTGTATTATGTTTTAAAATGTTGTGAAGTGTCTTTTGTTTTTGACACAACACAAAAGTAGTCGATAGGTTTCACGGTGCGGATTAATAAATATAATAATTATAAATGAAGTTGCTTATTGTTTGTAACTTTGCTTATCGGTCCGACAAAACGGAAGTGTGTACTCTTTTGTATTGTTTGTAGGTTCATGTGTGCTTGCGTGTGTGATGTAAAATCGATGTGCCGTACCGAGATATCTACAGCATAACTAGAAACACAAAGTACCCTTGATTCTGTTTGACTTAATCAATTAGTATGTTAGGTTAGTTTTTACATCGTTAAGAAGATTAGGTGTATCATCATGAATATTATTGTCTACACGGTTGTCTATATTAAGTGGATTCCCCTATATTCACACAGTTTGTCATGTTAAGCTATTTTTATTTCTATATTTTTCCTTTCGTCAACCGTCGTCAACCCTCCTTTGGCAATGTACACCCAGATACGGAACAATTGTAGGTACGTGGGCCGAATACTTGTCCCGTGTGGTAATCGAACCCACGAGCCCCGGCGTCGAAGCCAATAGCTAAGTATCTGCGTACGTGTTCATCTGCATAGTACATCGAGCGTATGCGCATTTGTTTTTCTTAAACATTGCCCTTACTTTAGGATAACATTATCCTGTGATGTAAGGACGTTTTACAAACATAAAATTCACGCGGACATACGCCCAGATGTGAAACGACTATGTGTGGGTCACATAAATAGTTGTCCCGTGTGGGAATCGAACCCACGACCGTCGCCGAAGCCAATACCCTGGCAACTGCGCCGAGGAGTCATCAAATCTAGCATCCAGCAAAGCATCTGAGTATTACGAAACCGTATAACGCTTCCAGCTCAAGATGCACCAGAAATACTGGACGTGTCGTCGCCCAAGGGCGAGGTCGGTAAGGATGCGAACCTCAGCTGCAGCGCTGCGCCGGAGAAAGCGGAGATTCAGTGGCTGTACAAAGGAGAGCCCATCAAACTTGGCGAGAGGTAGTTGACCATGAACCATTTCATAAGTAATGTGCCCGCGACAAAATAGCGGTACCGCTAGCCGTCTCGTTGATTGATACGCTAATATGGCGTATAAAAGGCCCCATTGTGAGTTATTCGTAACGCTTTAGAAACAATGCAACAATTACGAATCACTCTATGACCCGTTACCGTAAAGCTTGTATTTATTTTTTAAAGATAAAACTGATTTGATAATTAAAAAAAAAGCAAACCAACAAGTACTAATAACTGTTCGACTAGTCACAATTAAATTCGTACATTAAATCGTATAAATTCAAACTTTTCTAGTTATTACTTTATTATATATTAAATTTGTAGTAGGGCCACGCAACAGGTTCTCTGTTGGACTAAAGAGCAGGTCCGTCCGGATAAGAACCAGGACTTCACAGAAGACCAACATGAATTGGAAGTGTTATACTTCTACGTTTTGTCTGATATTGTGGTAGCCGAGCCCACTTTGTTATACGGTGCGACGCATCTGCAACCCTATGGGTGTGGCAATTGTTAATGGGCGGCGGTTATCACTTAACATCTGGTGAACCGCCCGCTCGCTTGCCACCTTCTCACATTAAAAACAATTGATAAGGAATAAAAAAATGCTAATATTATGCTGCACGTTCATTTCTGTATTCAGGATCAAAGTCGAAACGGAAGAGCGGCAACTTCAAAAAAAGGATTTGGACGGCAACCCACAGAAGTACAAAATGTCCAATCTGACTATAGCCAATGCAACGTCAGAGGACGCCGGCAACTACTCATGTATCACGTCACTGGGCGAGGCGAAGATCGAGAGGGTATTGATACTGGACATGAGCTTCCCAGGCAGGCTGGTGAGGAACACGCCCGGCCCCATCAAACAGAATGCCACGGACCAGGCCAATGTAACAATGCAGTGTGTTTTCGAAGGTAAAACGTTTTTAGATTCCTTAGGTAATATACATAAAAAGTAAAGTATTAAACTGCCAGCGTGTGTACACTGCTGGGATAAGGCCTCTGTACAGAGGTATTTGGGCATAGTCACCACGCAAATGCGACCGCGGATTGGATGACACGTCTTTGAATTATTACTTTTTTGTTATTATTTCGGAGATATGCAGGTTTCCCCACTATGTTTTCCTTCTGAGCTGAGCACGTGATAAGTCAGCACTTAAAATTATCAATTTTGCTGGTGCCGGCACCGGGACTTCAAGTTAGGTTATAGATAGCTCGAGTATATTGAACAAAAAGCGAGTGCCCGGATAATATACACGAAAAGCGTAAGCAAACTTCAAAAATAAGGTTTATTTACTTTCCCAACCCGAGATTATCTCATCATAGGTACAGTCGTCACCCACTCGCTATCCATCTGACAGTACAAAAGTCAAAATCCACGTGTCAAAACCAAAATTTCTTTACTCAAAGTGAGATCAGTTCAAACCGTTTTTCGATGTCATAAAAAGTTAAATTCTGAAATAGGGTGTACAGTGTATATGCCTATAGAGAAACATTGAACAAACTTACAATGCGAAAAAATCAATTACATATTTCACAATAGCCCTATTTCTCTTTAACAGTTTACAAGGCGGGCGATGTGAAGTGGTGGAAACGGGCGAAGGAGGACGACGCGATCGAGCTGCAATCGGGCCCCGGCACGCGGCTCGGTTTGGAGAGGTCAACCTGATAATTTGGAGCCGCACAGCACTTATGTTTTTCGGGTAGGTTTTCTGCGCATTGACAATTATAGTTATCATGACAGGGTTATGTGGGGTTCTTACCCACTAAAACCCCTTCGGTGGCCGCCTTCTGTACATTTGGAGGGACTCCGGGATCTCCCATGGAACGCACCGGTGTCCCTCTGTACTACGCCTGAGCACGCCTCGGAGAAGGATAAACCTTCTCCGATCCTCTCACCCTCTTGCAGCAGCACGAGACCACTTCGTGCTGCTGCCCATCCGTGTCCCCTTTTAGTCGCCTTTTACGACAGGCAGGGGATACCTTAGCCCTATTATATGAGCCCGGGACTAAAGGTGAGCCATTCGCCTAGCACGCATGAAACTGTTTTCTAATGTGGATTGTTTTTATGTGAGAAGGCGACGGGCTGATTTTAAGTGAACCTACAGTCATGGACATTTGCAACACCTGTAGGTTTGCAGATACGTTGGCAACTTTTAATAAAGTGGGCCCCGGCCACCTCACACACCAGACGAAACGCTGAAGTATATCTAACACTTCACGCCGGTCTTCTGTGAGGTCGTGGTGCTTCCCCGGACGAAGCTACACATTCGTGCAACAGCGAACTGGCAACAAGGAATCTATGCAAGCATTGCATTTTAATACCAGTAAATTAACACATGCTTATCTCTCGCGCCTTATCTCTATATAAATAGATAGACAGTAAAAATTTTTTTCAAGTTTCATCAAATTAATTGAGCCAAAATTGAAGGCTTGCTAGCTTATACTCAATACCGGTACACGGGTATTGAGATGTTAGGGAGCCATTACACGAAAGAAATTTGGCGATATGTTTGCACATACAACCTCTCAACCTTGCATCACTACCACCATCACAGTTTAGCAATTGGACCCTCATCATAACGTATCGGTTCGAGTTTTAAGCTAAAAAGATAAGACCGCAGAATTTCTTGCCAGTTTTTCCCTGAACAGGTCTATTTTAGTGAAACTACTTTTTTTACTTTCAATAACAAGCCTATATAATTCTTCGTCCTGGTATTAATCCAGGCTATTGCCAGGGTCTGCCTTCTTACTTAAACTCCTCCCCTCACCTGGGACCCACCGCTGAAGCTGAACGCCGAGATCAAAGCGTACAGCGTAAGTGCACATCTTTATTCACTCGCATCTACCGTAACTACAGGCTGTCCCAAAAAACAAGGACAGACGAGCAATAATCAAAACATCCTGTAGACTTTTTGAATGAAAAACCTTTAATTATTTAAATATGTATACGCCAATCTGCTTTTATGAGGCTCGTATTGAGACTGTATAAACCTGTTCAGTTCATCTTTTTTTTTGTCCCAAATAAACGTGATTTCGACATTAAAAAATTATAGTTTTTAAATACAAACCATACGGGAAAGAAAGTAGAATTAAAAGTATAACGATTGCCATAGTTATCCTATATCAATAAAAAAGAATATTATAATTGATTTCTATTTCAAAATTAATCTCTTTTCCTTAACTTGTTAACTTATTAATTAAGATAATTTCGACAAATAGTGTCGACAAACTTTTTAAATTGTAAATCATCTTAATATTAATTCTTTAAACTGATGATATTTTAGGGCTAACGTAATTCTTTAGCTAGTTTTAGCTCTTTAGTTCTAGAGCGAAGAAGCCACCAGCCATTAGCCATAAGCCATTTCGGTGTTGGCATGAGTCAGGTTCTTGTGTTTCTGTGTTCATTTTTCCTATTTATTATGTGTGAGAATTGTAATGATTGTTTCAGATGAATTTGAGCGGTATTGCCGTATTCAAAGATCGTTTCGGGAAGCTCCAGAGGGAGCCGTGGGGCCCAATGTATCGGTCCAAAACCAACGACACTAGAACTGCAAGGTACTTGGTTAAACCTTTCAATGTGATTGTTACAGTATATATTATGTATAATGCTGTAACTTATAACTTTATTCGCATTGCTTAAAGTGCGAAATAACAATGTTGTCAAAACACGTTGAGATTTTCGTCGGAGTGGCTTAGTGGCGCAGTTTCGATCCCCTCGGCGGCGAAAATACTTATCGTAAGTTTTTCTTACGAATTCGATCTCCCCCAGGTTCGACGACCTCCCGCCGAACACCAACTACACGGTGCGCCTGAGCGCCGTGACGCGCACGCAGCGCCGCGGCGAGGAGGACACGAAGCGGTGCAGCACGCCGCCCGCGCCGCCGCACCCGCCGCGCCCCCGCTGGTTCAAGGTGAGCGCGGGGACTTGCCGTTGCGTTTCGAACGCTGTCGCTTTAAAAATACGGCTCATATTTGTTTTGGCAACTGCCTGTTGTTGAACAGTGTAACTTTTTATTATAGAATAGTAAGCGCTGGGCCTTGAAATAGCGTTTCGAACGCTATCGCTATTAAAATATGGTTCAGATTTGTTTTGGCAACTGCCCGTTGTTAAACAGTGTAACTTTTTTTTATCGAATAGTGATCGCGGGGACTTGCCATTGCATTTCGAACGTTATTGCTTTAAAATAAGGCTCAGATTTGTTTTGGCAACTGCATGTTGTTAAACAGTATAACTTTTTTTTAATCGAATAGTAATCACGGGGATTTGCAATAGCGTTTCGAACGCTATTGGTATTAAAATACGGTTCCGATTTGTTTTGGCAACTGCCTGTTGTTAAACAGCATAACTTTATTATAATTTAATAGTGATCGCGGGGATTTGCAATAGCGTTTCGAACGTTACTGGTATTAAAATACGGTTCAGATTTGCTTAAGCAATTGCCTGTTGTTAAAAAGTAACTTTTTTCTTATCTTATAGCTGGCCAGTGTTTTATAAGTCAGTTAGTTGATAAATTTTGTTTCGGAGTATGGAGGAGGCCTTCTGCCCGTCCATTCTTCAATTGCTGGAATGGGTTATGAACGCAATTGTAACGAGAATAGGGTTCAAAATGATTGCCTACCGTGTTTATACTTTAAGTACTTTTTTTATAGGCAGCAGTTGTTGTCCAAATTGTTCACATATTTTTTACAACAATATTTGTAAAACGTCCGTATCATATTTATGATTAATTGTTCATATTACATAAAGTTTAATCTTCTTATTCTACTCTTTCCAGATAGTCGACGACGATAGATACATGTTGAAACTACATTTGCCTCGGCTGTCCGAGCGAAACGGTCCCATATGCTGTTATAGGTAAGGTTCATTTAATTGTTTTAAGGAGTTCTCAATTTTCAACGAACATTCAAACGATTTTATATTTTACTGCAGAAACGCGCGCGTTCTCGAATTTGAATTTGTGTTTGTGTTAAAGTCGATTGACTGGGCTTTCCAAGCGAGAATGCATTAATATTAAATAATAATAAACATTTCTGGACCCATTTTACAGATCGTTATCAAGTCGTAAAATAAGCAAAGCTTGTTCCAACTACTAATTAGATAACTCATAAGCATACTAAAACTAAATACATATAAGTATATGAACACTCAGACCAACATCCTATTGCGTAAGAGACTTCACTATTTAGTACTCTAATGGGATTGTCAAAAATATTTATCCAAGCTATGAATACTTGTTTGTTAAAATGTTTAGAAAAATGGAAGACAAATTTTACGCTGCTGCGGGAATTGAACTCGCGTCTTTCGGATTCGCGCTCAGGCGATTTAACTACAAAGTTAGACGGCTGATTGCTCCGTACACCAAAATCTCGACGAATATTCAAATATTTCATCTACATCGTTTTTGCGCATTTCAAGCAATGGGCGCGAATGTAAGACGTGGGTTAGATTGCGTCAGCGGCGAAAATGTATATACACATTTTATGCAGTATTGCATTCTCGCAAGTAAACTATTTACTATGTAACATTCTAACTCCGCAGGGTGTTCATGGTGCGCCTGCTGCCGAGGTCCGAGTGGGGCAAGCTGCCCTCTCCGCGCGACATCAGCGTCGTCGACTACGAGGAGGCGCACGGCGCCCGGCCCGTGCTCGGCGCCTACCTCACCGACGTCTTCTCGCAGTGAGCCCCTCCACCTGACGCTAGCTTCTCTCTCTTTCTCTCTTTCTTTCATATTCTCTTCCGCAGTGAGCCCTTCCCTCTGACGCTAGCTCTCTCTCTCTTTCTCTCTTTGTTTCACACTCCCTTCCGCAGTGAGCCTTTCCATCTGGTGCCAGCTTTTCTCTCTTACTCTTTTTGTTTCACATTCTCTTCCCCAGTGAGCCTTAACCTGACGCTATCTTTCCTCTCTTTCTTTATAATTTTCTTCTCGCAGTGTGCTCCTCCCGATGCGATCCTGCCTCTCTTTCTTTTTTTGCTTTACATTCCCTTCTTTCAGTGAGCCCCTCCCCCTGACGCAACCTTCCCTCTCTTTCTCTCATTGTTTAACATTCTCAGCAGTGAGCCCCTCCACTCGACGCTATCTTCTTTCTCTTTGTTTAATATTCTCTTTTTGCAAATAGCTATTCTATCGACGCGATTCTCCCTTTCTTTCTCTTTTTTGTTAAACATTCTCTTCTCGCAGGTAGCCCCTACCTTCGATGCAATCTTCTTTCTCTTTCTCTCGTTAACATTCTCTTTCACGGTGAGCTTTACCACTATGTAACTACTAATTTTCTAACACTAAATTTCTTATTACTGCCCACTTGATGAAAATTAACTAAATCCTTACACAGCGAAAAGTTTCCGCCGGGCTCCGACGTGATAGATCTGATAATGGGCGACGAGAATTCGGTGTACGATGCGGAGGACGGCACGCTGCACAGCGACATGTGCCGCCGCTGCCTGCGGAGGCCGAGGCGGCCCTACTTCGAGGCGCCGCCGCCCAGGGCGCCGGTGACGCCCCCCACTACCACCACCACCACCAGCGCCGCCACCACCACGGAGGACGAGTTCTTCGACGAGGAGGACCTCTCCACCGCCGAGCCGGAGGAGGCGAAGAGGGACCGAAGGTCTTACCCCGGCATCGACAGGAGCGACAAGTGAGCGGGCGATTTTTCAAGATGGCACTTTTTATTAATTCCTCATCGTCATCGTCGTCATGATCATGATCATCATCATCATCGTCATTATCATCGTCGTCATCATCTTCGTCATCATCGTCATTATCATCGTCGTCAACATCATCATCATACACTGTTGAACAAAGACCTCCCCATTAGAACGCCACACCTAACGATACTTTGCTATTAAAATATAATTAAATCATCAAATCTAAATCCCTATGCTGTCTGTATGTTTATTCTTCACGCTGCACTTTCTGACGGGAATTGAAATTGGGATAGTTAGAAGTTGTAGCTGTAGTTACGGATTAGAACTAGTAATGTATTATTTTTTTTTATTTATTTATGGTCTCACTTTCATGCCTACAGAAATATCTGGATCACGCCACTTCCTATCGTTTGCGCATCCGATTTTTGATATTCTTTAATAATCAATTCACTTCCTTCAAGCAGAGTTTGAAGGTAACATTTAAATAGTAACAATTATCCCTTACAGTGATTATACGAGAAATCCAATAATGGATGATAGTGCAGATGACGACTTCCAAGTCAAGGACGGCCTCCTCGATCCCACCGCCAATTATACATTATTCGTCGAAGTGATTCGTGAGTGGATTTTATTTATTAAAAAACTAAATAGTCCTTATATAATGATGTAAGGAAACATATTCGCTGCAAAGTGGCTGCCAACAAAGTAGTGAATTATCACCGGAGCCCAAAACATTACTTCAAAATGATAGAAGGTAAGAAGATGTATGATTAAGAACATATAATGCCATTTCCTCCTTTTTCGCTTACTCTGTTACATTATATTTTATTTTTTTATCACTATCTTTTTTGAGCAAATACTTTTTTCAGCAAATAAATTTTCTTTCGTCTACATATATTATATATAATGCTAAAGTACCGTCGAGGGCAAAAGAAATTTAACGGAACGTTAAAGAGTCTTTCCTATAAAATTGGTACTGCACGTGACTTTTGTGGCCCATGGAACTTGTTCTCCATCTGTATAGATTAAAATGGCACTCCTTTATTAGTTGTTCGGCACTTCTATGAAACTGCGTTATGTTACATTTCAAAAGTCTATTGTATTCGAAGTAAGAAATAAACCCGAGCAAACTATTTATATATACATACATATACTACAGGGAAGTGTTCTTCGCGACCCACCTGCTCATTGGCAGACAGCATATGTTGGAAATATTTTTGTTTGTAAGTATTGCGAGGTTTTCCTACACCGCTAAGCACATGATGTTAGTAAATCAGGTCAAATTGCAACTAACAAATCTATCGCTACTGGGGCCTGGATTCTCGAGTATATTGAAAGGGAGCGGCTGGAAACTGACCTATCGTGGCTCGTCGGTAGTCGCCTCTATACTGCAGCCGTGTAATCCGACGCTCGCTCTGTCCGCAGCGGGTCGGCCGCAGGACGAGTCGGTGTGGAGCGAGTACGTGAACGTGCTGACGCCGGCGGCCAGCGTTGCCGTGCCCTCTTCCGCCTTGGTCATAGAGGCCGCGCTGTTGGTGAGTGGGGGCTGCTAAGCACTCCTAATGTAAACCCCCCCTCGTATAACGTGTTGAAATAAATCAATTGCAACACTGAATTTAATACATTTAAATTATCTATAAAAAATCTGTATATATTATCTCTCTGTCTCTCACTTGTCGCTGTTCATGAAAAAGGATTATTGCTCAGTATTGCTTATTTCATTTCTAATGATTTAGGTCTGGAATTACTAAAATACTTTCGTAAAATATTTATGATATTTAACGTATAGACGCAACCTCTGCCCCCCACGCCTTCCCTTGCAACGTCTACGCACTCCTAATGTACCCCAAAGTATTACTAATTATTTAATTAACTATAAGTTAATGCACGTAAAACATCCCCAGTGATACAGAAAAATGTTATGCAAAAAAATTCATCAATCTCCCGTGTTTTTATTAATAATATTATAACTCAATAATTTTTGTTACAGACGACTTGTTCGTTTGCTGCCTTCATAGTTTTGGTGATGATAATAGTGTGCGTCGTTCAGACGCGACGGTCGCGCAAGTTGCCACCGCACGCGCACGTCGAGATGAACCCACTTCAGGTCGCTCTAAGGTGCGCACTGATATATTCCGTCCCAGCTCATTTCGTAACTTGCAGTGCATGACCGGAAAAAATCACGTTGTACATCGATGAGATTATTTTCAATCGTCATCTTGCTAGTTATTGATTAATATTTCATCGGATGCTAATCGGCTCAGTAGCCGTAGTTGGGAAATGTATTAGGTACAATCAAATTTGTTTCAATAATTAAGAAATTGATAACGAAGCAAAGAAGCTTCGATCGTATGTTATGCGTTGTTTGTTGGCGAAGTGTTATAGAAAAAATTGCCCACCTGTTATCTTTAAAATTTTTTTAAAAGCCAACATTTAAGTGACTAAAGTGGGCAAAAGACTACTGCCGTTTAATTTAAATTTTACAAAGCCACGACTCTCGACATACCACGGCGGCGCATTTATTGCGTATACAATAGGTATAAGGTCGATTTTGGCGCAGATACGTGGTCGGCTCGCTCGGCGGGCGGCAGCAACTGATATCGGCGGTGCCCCCCGACATGCCGCCCATCCCCAAGGAGGAGCTCGCCGCCGCCTACGCCGAGCGGCAGGCGGACTCCGACTACGGCTTCCAGAAGGAGTTTGAGGTGCGCCCAGAGCCATTCGTTCAACGCCATTCGTTCAAAGCCATTCGTTCAACGCCATTCGTTCAACGCCATTCGTTCAACGCCATTCGTTCAACGCCATTCGTTCAACGCCATTCGTTCAACGCCATTCTCGTTCAGGGCTATTCGTTCAAGGCCATTCATCCGAAGTGACGTTCATAAAGCCATTCTCTAAAGTGGCGCTCACAGGCGAGGGAATTCAAACTGCAGTAGACAAAAGGGAATTGTAGCTAACAGATAAAACCACCATAAACTTAAATTATATTTTATATAAATAATACTGGTCAATCTTTAAACTTACATTTATTTTACGAAAAACTAACAAACAACAGTTTTCTAAAGGGATGCCTCTTCTCCGAAGATTTTTTTCTCTTATTTAAGAACTGGAGCTGGCGGTACACCTGATGTTAAGTGATAACCGCCGCCCATGGACATTGGCTATTCTTGCAACAGCGAAGACTGATGCGTAGCCTTACCACAGCTAAGTTTTTGTAGCATTCAGGCTTATTACTCGACAAGCTGAAACCAGCGACTTGGTCTGAATTGCTTATTATATCGAAAAATACACCGCTTGCCTACTCCTCGACGGCAAGAAAAGACATATAAGACATAAGACATTTAATCCGTCACTTAATCTGTTTACAATTATGTTACATTTAGTTACAGATTAAAATTAAAAGAAAAAAAAAAGCGACAAAATAATGAATAAACAATAATAACAAAATTAATTTTAAAAAATAGTGAAAGTAAAACAAAAATAAATGGTATTTATAAATTTTAAAGTAGTGACGGAACGGAGCGCCTCAGCATATGCCGCGCAAGATTGCGGCGGCGCGACGAAAAGACAACTGATCATGTAGTGCTTATAACAATCACAAACACATTACTCAAAATTATTAAATTCACATTAAATAAAGACATTACAATACATTTTTAAAATCATCAAATGCTTATAAATTATATTTCTAAGATACGCGCTCAGCGGCTTTTTATTTATATAGATAGATAGGAATGACGTGGATATATTGAACATTACACATCCTTAGATATATAGCAGCATCATGTTTTATAATTTAATTAATGGAGATCTGTTCAGTAGGCTGAAGGGAATTGTAGTTAACAGGTAAAACCGCCATAAATTGAAATTATATTTTCTATAAATAATAACTAAATTAACAAACAAAAGATTACTCAAGGTGTATATAGACAGAAAAAGAAATGTTATATTTATAAAAACCATTTCTTACCGAAATTTGTTACATTATAGGTACGGTTGTATATACGGTTTTGGTAAAAAAAAATAATGTTGATATTGATAGAAGTCTTGCCGATTCATCAGACGACATCAAAAGTGAGCAGTGGTGTGGTCTTGTCGAAACCGTTAAAATGATTGTTTAACTCTTTGAGCGATGACACATGGTTCTTCCGTTTCTTCGTAAGTTTCAAATGTATATTTATAATTTGTTCTTCTACGTAAGCTAACATTAATTTACTAAGTTTTTTTATGAACTAAAATTTTGATCTTTTTCGTAATTCGTCATAGTTGATTTAGCGATTTATTGCTACTTCTTTTTTGTATCATTAGATGACAGTCTGGAACATTCTCATCCGTCTAGTTTTCGGAGATTCTAGTTATTTTTCGATCATAAATAATTTGTTTCATCTGCATGTTTTTTAGCGTGGGTGTTTTAGCTTTTCAATGTCGTAACTAATTTTAGAGTAAATTTTTTTTATGAACTCAAACCGGAGCAACTTGCTTCGGTCTTGACAGTATTCATTATTTTTCTTGCTCTTATTTCACATACGTGGAACTACTAAAAGGTGGCAATGCACGCGGCGGTTATCACTCAACATCGAGTGAAACGTCAGCTAGCTTGCCACCTTCTCACAAAAAAAAAAACATGGAGTCAGCGCAACATGTGTATCGTTTTCTTAACGATACCTATTAGTTAGGTTTTTCATGAACGCTTACCGGATCCACGTAGAAACGTGTGATAAGTACTGTTATATACCATAGACATTATAAGTCTTTGATGTGGGAAATTACTTGTACCTCGCTATCGTTCATATTGATTTCTTTCTGTATTATGCTACGTTATTTAGAAATCCTTTCATTACATTGCGCTCTTAACTGTTTAGATTTCGCCATTTTATAATTATGTATTTCACAAAAACAAAACGATTTAAAAAATAACTTAACATCACCCGAGGTAATTACGGGTTATAGTTTAACTTAAATTATTTGTTGTTTCTACATTCAACCAACCTTGAATTTGTGCATGATGTTTTTAAATAATCATTACGTATAACATGCCCTCTTTCTCGGAGCCAGTTCTATTCTGCGTCCCTTTCCTTTTTTATCTGCCTCTTTCTCCTATTCTCCTAGCCCGTAGTAATCGCCCCTCCCCCCTCATTCATCGAGGCCGTCTTGATCTCTTGCGGTATTAAAACGGGAAACCAAACGGGCCCAAGTTGTTGCAGATGCTGCCCGAGTGCTTCCCGGATCGAACGACGCACGCGTCGGAAGCGCGCGAGAACCAGCCGAAGAACCGGTACCCGGACATAAAGGCGTACGACCAGACCCGGGTGAAGCTGTCGCAGGTGGACGGGATATCCGGCTCGGACTACATCAACGCCAACTACGTAATGGGCTACAAGGTGAGCGGTGGCGCCGATCGTTGTGTAATCTCGAATGTTCCACGTCGGGATCTCGTTTTTAGGGTTCCGTAACCAAATGGTAAAACGGGACCCTATCACTAAGACTCCGCTGTCTGTCTGTCTGTCTGTCCGTCCGTCGCCAGGCTGTATCTCGAACCGCAACCTCGATGGCCCTTAGATGACACACCATAGTTAAACGCACGCATGAGCACATGCGCGGCCTTACCCACAGCCGAGGGCCCAAACCCGTGGATTCTGGCTAGCCCACCGGTTCTGCGTCAGAAACTTTAATAGTCTCGGGACTGAAATCAAAAACATCACTTAATACAAGATACAAGCTGTATCTCATGAACCGTGATAAGTATACAGTTGAAATTTTCACAGATTATGTATTTCTGTTGCCGCTATAACTAAAAAACAGAAAAGTAGGGCTCCCATACAACAGACATGATTTTTTTTTGCTCTTTTTATGGATAATGGTACGGTACCCTTCGTATGCGAGTCTGACTCGCACTTGGCCGATTTTGTTTCTTAATGCGAAAAGTTATCAACCCCGACCATGGATAGACATATACAAAATCTGATGACTTGCGGATTCGTTGATAACCTTTTAAAAAGTTGTCCCCGGTTACCTCACTCGCCAGACGAAACGCGAACGTTTAACACTTCCACTTCACGCCGGTCTCTGTGAGGCCGTGGTAGTATGGTCTGCCCATTCGTGTGGTAGTACGGTCTGCCCATTCGTGCAACAGCGGAGCTTTCCGTGGTCCTACCACAGTAAGATGTAAGTTAAACTTAATCCTGTTTATACTTTAAATACCTTTTGGAATTGTTTGTGAAGTTTGTTTTGCTTTATACACTGTCCGTCTGTAACTTCTTAACTCTCTATGGGGTTTATATCGTGTTCGCTCGAACTAATTGTTTTTGATGCTTTCAACACTTGTTCGAAATTTTATTTTCCTATATAGGCTATAATAATTATGCATTTATCAATTATAGCCCAAATATTTGTCTCTCACTCCTCACTTTTGTGTGCTTGTAATAGAATAAAGCTTAACCTTCTCCACGTCTACTCGTCACATTTTGTTGTATGTTGTATATTTCAAGCATAAAGCGGAATAGTGAGTTTGCATCCATAATACTGATTTTTATTAATTGTAATTAATTTTGTTATTTACAAATTACTGTCACTAGCTTTCTAATAACTTGGTATCGATCACTGCTAACTCGATAAACTTTGATGGTAGTAGTATAATTGTGTATTACATGATTTACTGTATCGGTTGGAACTTCTGAATAAAAAGTATATAAAAACGCTCTCTTGTTCCAATAGGTAAGTTGTGTAGAAATATGAAATCAATCCATCAGATATATTTTGAGTTTTGTGGACACAAGCATACGGAAGTTAATAATTTTATATCTAAAGTGGATTTAACTAAATTACTTGTTATCTAAACCATCATTCTACGCGGCATGTGTGATGATGATGCTTAACCTAAACCAATCACACTGTATTGCCAGCCGCAGAGATAAGATAGTTAACTATTAACATAGGGAAAATTAATGGCAAGGGTTACCTCTAAGGGTAATTCGTTCTTGCTGTTTCTGCAACACTCTTAGGGTATTGGTACAAAAAGTCCAGTGACTAAAAGTTGCAATAAATATTTTACTGATCCAAATCACGTGTAGATGTAAAAGTTGTCATTATTCCGCTTAACTGCAAAACTTTGTTTTGTGTTGTGTGCCAACTTTGTGCGTACTGACTTCTGTTGTCTGTCCTCTTGTGCTTACTAAGGATCCAATGGAGCCTAATCAGGTACTGCATGTGTCGAACTGTATATGATAGTCGAAGTGTAACGTGTTACAGCGGTACAGGGTGTAGTATGACTACTGCTCGAATGTCTAATTGTTTTATTTTGAACCTGGGAACCCCTGTACTAGTTATGTTTCCTAAAAGCAATGTTAATGATTAGTTAGCTTCAATTTTTTAAACATACTTAATTTATTTTATTTTGTTTTTTTGTTTTTGTGCAAATAAAATGTCTACGCGAATCGACATTATTAATTTCCGTTTTAATTAATGAATTTTTCGTTTTATGATTTAAAATTTTTAATTTTGTAATTTCATTTTATTAGAACGTTTTGTAGTTTAAACTAGTGAGTAATGTTTTGCTAATGCTTTATTTTGTTTTTGTTTTGCAATGCGGAAAGATTATGAATTATGTCTGAGCGACCGTTTTAATAAGTTGTTGGTACATTTATATTTATTATTTTTATAGAGGCTTTTTCTTTTTTTTAGTATTTTTCTTTCGTATTCCAACTTAATGTTTTCTCTTTCTTTTTGGCTTTTTTTTCGAATTTTTTGTATATGTTCTCGTTATTTTTTCATGGAAATGGTTAAAACCCTTACCCGATAATTTCGCTGTTAATTTAACAACGAGTAAAATAGTTGTAACACTTCAAACAAATACAGAAACCCTGAAAACAATATTGGTCACTGTTTATCTTTTATTGCACTGCTTTCTATTAATTAAACTATGGAAATTATATTCACACAAGTACTCCGTAACTTTTGTAAAAATTTAATTGCGAAGCGCGAGTGCCTTATAAATACTACAGCCTTTTTAACGCTCCTTTATGACCAGTTTTATAATATAATATTGTATTACATATTTTTTTCAAAGATCTACTAAATATATACATATGTATTATATATATATATTATATATATATATATATATATATATATATAATACGAAAGGTTTTCAATGGTTTTCTTTCACGTCTAACTAATATATAAAATGTTCTATTTCACTTTAGGAACGCAAACAGTTCATCTGCGCGCAAGGGCCGACGGACACGACCGTGAACGACTTCTGGCGAATGATCTGGGAGCACGGCCTGGAGCTGATCGTGATGCTGACAAACCTCGAGGAGTACTCGAAGGTGAAGTGCTCCAAGTACTGGCCCGACGAGGGTCGGGGGCCGAGGGCGTTCGGCAGCATCGCGGTGCACCACGTCTCGGAGAAGCGGTGAGTGGGCGATAGGGTGGGTGTTTGGTTAGACAAGTAGTTGGTACATCAAAGCTATTCGTTTGCATTGTAACATTATTGTACTTTGTACTATTGCAGTCACCGTTTTCGATTTAAATTACCGACCGAGTTGAGACCGAGTGTTACAAAGAGAGAAAGGGTCGGTTTCTCGAATTTCCATAGAGTGATAGGTATCAAGGTTTCAATTATTCCATTCGCGGGAAGCTTTTAGCGTAAAGAAAATAGTGAAAAGTGAAACATAGTTATCAACCAACCATCGGCCGACCGTTAGTCAATCAGAACGACGTATATTTAACTTTACCAATAGTTATAAAGAACTATCCGTTTTTAACAATAATAAAAGATTTTGATAGAATTATTTATAAAAAAAGATAAATTATTTTAAAAAAATTGCTTTATTGCCAGCATTCCGGTGAAATTATGCGTTTGCTTTCAGATATTCTGATTATATTGTGCGGGAGTTAAGGATAACTAAGCAACCTCTAAACTCCGAGGGACAACCTATTATTGAGAATAATGGCATCGCTAAGAGAAACGGAGGTACGTATTCTCAGTTCTTTCAAGTCGCAATTTTATGGAACGTTAGTGTGTGTAATTAATATAATATCCGATGATGATGTTAAATAATTTGTCACAGTTCTCTCTTTTATATAATATCGAATTAGGTATTTTTTGTTGATGTGAAAAGTTTAATGATAATGAAAATGTTATAAAAACACGTATTTGTTGTAATACCAATAAGAAAACTTTTGGGTCAAATTTCTCGAAAATTGTTGATCGTGGTAAATTTAACATATTTATTTTATAATTTAACTTTAAACCGATCGATCGACTTATCACGTGCTCATCGGCGATGGAAAGTATCGTGAGTAATCTTGCATATTTTCAATGTTTCGAAGATATGTGCAGTCCGCCAATCCGTACTGGGGTCGCGTGTTGGGCTATGTCTAATACCAGAGGAGTCTTTTTGCCAGCAGTGGGTACATATACTACATGTATAGGCTCGCGTGGGGACTATGCTATAATACCCTCTGCACAGAGGCACATGCATAGGCTGTTTCTTTACTAACACACAATGTTTGCGCAGAATGCAAGGAGGCGGCGGACGGCAGCCAACCGAACTCGCCCCAGACGCGCGGCGAGGCCCGTTTGGTGCGTCAGTACCACTTCCTCATGTGGAAGGACTTCGCCGCGCCGGAGCACTCCTACTCCATATTGAAGTTCATCAAGGTGCCGATGCGAGCCTAACTTTTTTTTATTTGAGAAGGTGGCAAACGAGCTGGCGATTCACCTGATGTCAAGTTTTTTTTTTATTTTAAAAAAACATTGGCCTTCCTTTAGTATAACATTATCCTGTGTCGTAAGGAGGTTGGACAAACATAAATTTCACGCGGGCTAACATCCAGATGCGTAACGAATAAATGTGGGTGACATAAATAGTAGTCCCGTGTGGGAATCGAACCCACGACCGCAAACGCAGAAGCCAATACCTTGGCAACTGCGCCACGGAGTCATCTGTACCGAATAAGTGATAACCGCCGCCCATTGACATTTGCAACACCCGTAGGGTTGCAGATACGTTGCGACCATAGAGTGGGCCCCGGCTACCTCGCTCAGTAGACGAAACGCAGTTAGCATAACACTTCTACTTCAAACCGGTCATCTGTGAGATTGTGGTACTATTCCATACGGTCCTGTCCATCCGTGCAACGGCGTAGGCTGTTGCTCGGCCCTAACACAGTAATCCTAGAACTCACCACTGCGCGTCAGCAATGCATTTTCGAGACGTTCGCCGGTCACGACGAAAGAAGGATGTTGCAAGAATGGGTGTGAAACATTGTAGGCTGTTGCTCGGCCCTAACACAGTAATCCTAGCACCGACCACTTTTTCATGTGAAAATTTGCCGAGCGAGCAGACGGTTCATCTGATATTTTAAGTGAATACCCCGCCCATGGACCTCTGCTACACCAGAGTTCGTGATGCGTTGACAACCTTTTGAACATTGGGCTCCGGCCTCCTTACTCACCAGACGAAACGCGAAAGTATTACACTACCACTTCACGCCTACCTTCTGTGAGGTCGTGGTGCTTACCCGGACGAGGCTGCTGCGTGGCCCCACCAGCGTAAATGTGCATGCGTGCGCTTTCGCCGATCCCGATGAAAGAAGGGACCGTCCCCGGCGGCTGTCCGCAGCGCGTGAACGAGGCGTGGTCGAACATGGTGGGGCGGCCCGTGGTGGTGCACTGCTCGGCGGGCGTGGGCCGCACCGGCACGCTGGTGGCGCTCGACTGCCTGCTCGAGCAGCTGCGCGCAACCGGCCACGTGGCCGTCTTCAACACCGTGGCCGAGCTGCGGCGGCAGCGCAACTTCCTCGTGCAGTCGCTGGTCAGTGTGGTGGTGGTGGCGATTTTTATGCAACTGTATACAATTACGAGATGCCGCGTCCGAGGCTCTAAAAATTTATACGGAAACTCATATCGTGTGATAAGTTCGGTAATTTAAAAAAAAATATATCCTGTCTTTCTAATAATTATCACTGTCAATTTTAATTATAATTTTAAGTTACAATAAAAAGTTAGAAATTGATGTATCGAAATTTGTTAACACATAAAATGTCGCGTTAGCATGCACTTGCTCTCTTGATGAACAAGCATTATAGCATATCGACCGCAGTGTAGGAAATATTAATAGAGTCGGACGATAACAAGTTAAATATTTCCACTCGTCGAACAACAGAAGCAGTACGTGTTCGTGTATCGGGCCTTGGTCGAGTACGCGCACTACGGAGACACGGAGATACCGGCTTCTCGTCTGAAGAGCTCCATCGACCGGCTTCGCAACACGCCAGAGGGCGCCGACAAGTGCCTCATGGAGCACGAATTTGAGGTAAGACCTCAGTCTTCAGGCGTAAATCATGTCGTAAGTGTTAAGTCTTAAGAGGCAAGTGTCGAGTAATAATAATAATAATAATAATGAATCTTTTATTTTTCTTAATATTATGTATATTGTACAGTGGTCGTAAGTTAATGGATGTCCACTATCGCAGTCAATATTCCTTTTATTAGATGTCCCGTAGCGCCCCAAAAACCGACCACTGCGTAAAATAAAATCTCTTCGAGATGTCTGCCAGTCACAATGAACTTAATGTAGTAGGGGTCACGCAATAGCTTTTGCTTTTGCACGAATGGGCAGATCCATTCGGGTAAGTACCACGACCTCACAGAAGACCGGCTTAAAGTGGAAATTTTATACTACTGCGTTTCGTATGGTGAGTGACTAAAAGTAGTTGGTGCCTAAAAGTTGGCACCGCATCTGCAACCTTACGGGTATATACAAAGAGCGGCGGTTATCATTTAACATTGGGTAAACGGCCAGATCGCTTGCTACCTTCTAATTTAAAAAATAAACTCACACTATTCACTCACTCGCGTGTGTTTCTGTTGTATGTAGGTAAAATTTTTGCCTCATATAAATTATATTTATAAAATAATTTTTCTTGAATTGAGCTTTAAAAAAAATTGATTTATCTATTTTTTTTTATTTATCTATGTATTTACTTTATTAAAAAACCTCACAGCATACAAGAAATATTGAACACACAATTAACAAAGATATTGAGCCATGAAAGAAGTTGCAACGTTTCTCTCCGCCCGCAGAAGATGATGAACAGCCCGCTGGCGGAGTCTGTGCGCTCGTGCGCGGCGGGCGGCGGCGAGGAGCTGCGCGCGCGCAACCGCAACGCGGACTGCCTGCCCTACGACCGCAACCGCGTCATCCTGGCCCCCATCCCGGGCCGCGACTTCTCCACATACATCAACGCCTCCTTCATCGAAGGTACGCCCCGGCGCCCCTCCGCACAACGTCCCTCCGCTCTTCCAAAGTTCCGCCCCTCCACACTTCCGCCCCTCCATACCTACGCACCTCAGCCCCTTCGCACTTCCGCTCCTCCATACTTCCGCCCCTCCATACTCCCGCCCCTCCACACTGCCGCACCTTCGCACCACCGCACATCCGCACCTCCACAGCGAGTTATTGCATTTTTCATATGCAATAAATTTGCCGAGCTGGCGTTTCACCCGATTTCAAGTGGTCACCACCGTCCACGGCTACAACACCCCAGAGGTTATGGATGCTTTTGACAACCATTAAAAATCTCGTCTTTTAGTACATCAATAAACAGCGTAAAGTATTATAATATGAACTTCTGAAGGGCCATGCTCATTTATACGACAGTAGGCTTTTTGGTTCTCACAATCAAATGACAATGGATTTCAAAAACCTGAGCGTTTTTCCAATAGACCTAAAAAAAACTTAGACTTAACTGTAGGGTGTCATGTGTTAACAAACTCAAATATTTTACATGGGCAAATATTCAAATTTGGAATTCGAGCTATCGACGACCTTAAATTTGGTGATGACTTACAAAATCTGAAATTTAGTTCGTAATATAAAAAAAAAAAAACAGTGTATACATTTATTTATTATTTATAAGTTCGTGTTAAATTGATTAGAAGGAAACAAAAATTAAAAAAGCCTGCCGAAGTGTTTTATAATTTTGAGTTTTGTTTTTCACAGCATATGACAATTCAGAAGGATTCATCATAACACAAGATCCGCTGCCAAACACGATTATGGACTTTTGGAGGATGGTCTCTGAACACAATGTTTCTACTATCGTAATGCTCAGTGAGGTATGTATGTTAATTTTACTATGCTTGGTAAAAAAAAAAAAATCAGTAAATATTTTTTAATTCTTGATCTTTCTTAATACTGTTTCTAACAGAGCAATACTATATTGAATATATTTAAGATTCACCAATGAAAAACGATATTCAAACAACATCCATTTTAAGCATCCACATTCCACGCAATCAAACAAATGCCAAACATACTTTTGAGTAATTAATTAAGCTGTGTTCTTAACAGATTAAAAAATTGTGTAAATTCAGAAGGTCAGATAATACAGCTAAATTATTTGGCCTGTTTGATTGAGTATCCTCTAAATTGCCTCTAATTTTCGCTTTAATTTCTATTGAAATATTCTTCATTAATAATACTTTTGTAAAATGTCTTTGCAATTAAGTTTGCCGTTATTGAAGTTATACTTCTTGTGGCGCGTTTGGAAAAATTATGAGGTTAAAATTTTTACGATGCACGCGCACACCTAACCCCTCAAAAAGCGAGACGATGCTAGATAAACATCTTGGCATCAAAAATAACAACTTTTTGATATTGACCCAAGTTATTTAACTGAACCGTTATCAATTGCAAATAATGTCTTTACGCTAAAGGCTACATCTTACGTGCGTACATAAGTACATACATAGTTTTTTTTTAACATGTTGCGATTTTTTCTGGCAGCTCGGCGAAGGCAAGTGCCCTCGCTACTGGGACGACGGCACCGCGCAGTACGAGCATATCTCGGTCCAGTACGAAGAGAGCGAGTCGTGTCCTTACTACACGCGGCGGCAGTTTAGGGTCACCAATAACAAGGTGGTATGCGATGATATGCTACATTTTTCATGTGAGAATGTGGCCAGCGAGCTGTTAAGCGGTTCAGCCGATGTTAAGCGATAATTGCCGCCCATGGACACTTCGATTCGTTGCCACCTTTTCACGAAGTGGGCCCTGGTTACTACAACCGCCAAACGAAACGCAGAAGAGTAACTTCACGCCGGTGTTTTTAAACGTTGTACTTCTCCAGACGGACCTGCCATTAGTGCAACAGTGAATACTGTTGGTGGCCCTACCACAGTAAAAGTAAAAAATGTAAAATAACAGCCTATACATGTCCCACTGCTGGGCAAAGGCCTCCTCTATACAGAGGGTATCAGGGCATAGTCCACCACGCAGCCCCACTGCGGATTGGCGGACTTCACATATCTTCGAAATATATATTTATTTATTTTTTGTTATTATTTCGAAAATATGCAGGTTTCCTCACGATGTTTTCCTTCACCGCGGAGCACGTGATAAGTCAGCACCTAAAGTTAAAAACTTCATTGGTGCCGTCCCCGGGGATCGAACTCAGGTTGCTCGAGTATATTGAATTAAAGGCGAGCGCCCGGAGCTATCACGGCTCCTACCACAGTACTATACTGGGAATAAAATGATTTGTATGATGATAAAGTATATATTTACGAGGCAATTTTTTTTTTGTACTTTGAGAGAAGGCGTTACCACAACCAAGTGGTTTCCTTAATAGTAAGCGATTTCCGTTGGCCATGGACATAGGGAGACCAATAAATAAGCGGTTGCGATTATTGTTTGTACATTTATTTATTGCATTGAACGAAAGTACCAATGTGCGTGACTGTATTCGACAATTCTATGGATACTGGTATTCGTCTTTATTCGCTTCTAAATCGCTCGCCGTACAAGTAAAACATTATCATTTCTCAATTTTATTTTAATTCGATTGTTACTGCCGACGTGTCAAGCGCTTCGCGGCGTTCGCGGTAACTCCAAAGCCGCGACAGAACGTGTGATGTAAAGGAGGGTTGCGATCCTCAGAGCGGCGAGTGGAGCGGCGTGCGGCAGCTGCAGTACCAGGGCTGGCCCACCGCGGCGGGCCACGTGCCCGAGGTGACGCGCGGCCTGGCCGAGCTGGCCGAGCTGGCCGCGCCGCCCCACGCCGCCGCGCCCGACTCCACGCGCCGCCCGCTGCTCGTGCACTGCCAGTCAGTGCCGATCGCTCTTTGCAACACGCCCTCCCCTCTCCCTGCCACCTTCCCGAACTTCCCACACTGCCAGTCAGTGCCGATCGCTCTTTGCAACACGCCCTCCCCTATCCCTGCCACCTTCCCGAAATTCCCACACTGCCAGTCAGTGCCGATCGCTCTTTGCAACACGCCCTCCCCTCTCCCTGCCACCTCCCCGAACTTCCCACACTGCCAGTCAATGCCGATCGCTCTTTGCAACACGCCCTCCCCTCTCCCTGCCACCTTCCCGAACTTCCCACACTGCCAGTCAGTGCCGATCGCTCTTTGCAACACGCCCTCCCCTCTCCCTGCCACCTTCCCGAAATTCCCACACTGCCAGTCAGTGCCGATCGCTCTTTGCAACACGCCCTCCCCTCTCCCTGCCACCTTCCCGAACTTCCCACACTGCCAGTCAGTGCCGATCGCTCTTTGCAACACGCCCTCCCCTCTAACTGCCACCTTCCCGAAATTCCCACACTGCCAGTCAGTGCCGATCGCTCTTTGCAACACGCCCTCCCCTCTCCCTGCCACCTTCCCGAACTTCCCACACTGCCAGTCAGTGCCGATCGCTCTTTGCAACACGCCCTCCCCTCTCCCTGCCACCTTCCCGAACTTCCCACACTGCCAGTCAGTGCCGATCGCTCTTTGCAACACGCCCCCCCCTCTCCCTGCCACCTTCCCGAAATTCCCACACTGCCAGTCAGTGCCGATCGCTCTTTGCAACACGCCCTCCCCTCTCCCTGCCACCTTCGCGAAATTCCCACACTGCCAGCCAGTGCCGATCGCTCTTTGCAACACGCCCTCCCCTCTCTCCCTGCCACCTTCCCGAACTTCCCACACTGCCAGTCAGTGCCGATCGCTCTTTGCAACACGCCCTCCCCTCTCCCTGCCACCTTCCCGAAATTCCCACACTGCCAGTCAGTGCCGATCGCTCTTTGCAACACGCCCTCCCCTCTCCCTGCCACCTTCCCGAACTTCCCACACTGCCAGTCAGTGCCGATCGCTCTTTGCAACACGCCCTCCCCTCTCCCTGCCACCTTCCCGAACTTCCCACACTGCCAGTCAGTGCCGATCGCTCTTTGCAACACGCCCTCCCCTCTCCCTGCCCCTCTCCCTGCCTTCCCGAACTTCCCACACTGCCAGTCAGTGCCGATCGCTCTTTGCAACACGCCTCCCCTCTCCCTGCCACCTTCCCGAACTTCCCACACTGCCCGTCATGCCGATCGCTCTTTGCAACCCGCCCTCCCCCTCCCCCCCCCTCCCTGCCACCTTCCCGAACTTCCCACACTGCCAGTCAATGCCGATCGCTCTTTGCAACACGCCCTCCCCTCTCCCTCCCCTCTCCCTGCCACCTTCCCGAACTTCCCACACTGCCAGTCAATGCCGATCGCTCTTTGCAACACGCCCTCCCCTCTCCCTCCCCTCTCCCTGCCACCTTCCCGAACTTCCCACACTGCCAGTCAGTGCCGATCGCTCTTTGCAACACCACGCCCTCCCTCCCCTTTCTCTCCCTGCCACCTTCCTCGAACTTCCCACACTGCCAGTCCCGATCGCTCTTTGCAAACCCCTCCACTCCTCCTCTCCACCATTCCCGAACTTCCCCCACTGCCAGTCACTGCCGATCGCTCTTTGAAAAAATAAAATACACTAGGAACTCCACTCTCCCATTTTTCCAACCCCACTCCCTCTTATGCCGTAATGTAGGTTCGTGGTCTTTAATGTTGTTATGTGATAAGCTGGTTAGCGAGCCGGCGGTTCTCCTTATGTAACGTGATAACCCCTCCCCCCCCTATTAGGAACTTTCCTTCCCACACTCCACATGACTTGCCATGCCTTTTAATAAAGTGCGCCACCGGCTACCTTACTCACTAGACAAAGGCAGAAGTTAACAATTCCACCTCCACCAATAAAACGGACTGCCCACCCGTGCAACTCCACTCTCCAACCATTCCCACTCCACTCGTACCTCGGTCTTGCTAGACTTGTGCTTTACTAAAGAAAAATAAAATACACTAGGAAATAATTGCTGTGCTTCCTATTCTATTAATATTTTTCTATTCTTATTATTTTTCTATTAATATTATATTATTATTCCCAATGTCTCTTCCTTATTCATTATTTTTTTGTAATGTAGGTTCTAGTGTTAATGTTGTTATGTGATAAGGTGGTTAGCGAGCCGGCGGTTCACCTTATGTAACGTGATAACCGCCGCCCATGGATATTAAGAACACCGGTAGGGTTGCACATGACTTGCCACCTTTTAATAAAGTGCGCCCCGGCTACCTTACTCACCAGACGAAAGGCAGAAGTATAACAATTCCACCTCACGCCGGTCTTCTGTGAGGTCGTGGTACTTCCCCGGACGGACCTGCCCATTCGTGCAACGGCGAACTGTTTTGTGACCTTACCACTGTAACCACAGTATTCTACTCCATTGTATTTCCCTCTATTCTATCCTATTCGATTCAGCCTTGGCACGGAGCGGTCCTCGCTGTTCGTGGCGCTGTGCATCCTCATCTGGCAGCTGCGCATCGAGCGGCGCGTCGACGTCAACTGCGTGGCGCGGAAAGTGCGCTCCCAACGCGCAAGGACCATCGACACGTTTGTTAGTGTTTCAAAAGTTTGTTTTGCCGATAACGCCTCCCGACCTCCCTTGTAAATTATTCCTTTAGACTGCTAAAATTAAAAGGAAGCATATCCTTCCCGCTTCGTGGATCATTAATTTCGAGCAATAAAATTGAAAGGGAGTATACAACCCCCGTCGCCTCCCTAGCTTCTTGGAACTTTTTTTCGACCTAATTGACGGACATTGGCTTATAAAATAGAAAGGAGGTATAGACCACAAACCCGCCCCCCTCCTGTGGATTATTCCTTTGGACGGCTAAAATTAAACACTAGCTGCCGCAGGCTTATGAACGATGTCATCGTTCTATACTTGTAGAGTGTGATGTGATTCAATTTGTGAGAGGAATTGTGTTAATTTTTGGGAACAACCAGGGTATATACACCGCTCCTGCAATAGATTTGTAAAAATCTTTAAAAGTAATCTTTAAAAGTTACACCTGGGAGACTATTCTATTTCCTTTAGCATTAATAAACAACCAAATATACATATATATAATGGAAATAAATGTAGATCTACTGTAAACATATTGAAGAATATAGTTCCTTAGATTTACACTTTTAATTTCTTAGAACTACAATTTTTCTCTTCCTCTAAATGAGTTTGGTATAAACACTCTTATAAAAATATGTTATCTTAATTTTTCGCAAGTTGTTAGCACTGTAGGTTGAAGGCCTTTCTTAATAAATAGAGCTTGTGAGAAGACTGCTTCACATTAGCTTTATTTATTAAGAAAGGCCTTGGTGATGATGAAGTTGTCAATAAATAATAAATTGCACCTTTTGTTACAGTTACAATACGAATTTCTACACCGTGCCATACTGAACTACGCGGAGCTGCACAATCTACTTGAAGACAGTTAAGCTACTCCAATAATTTGGCAATTGTAATTTCGATGTACCGACAAGGTCCAAAGTCGCCCGAAACTGGCACCCGTATCAGAAATACTTCTTGCCTTTCGTAACCGGAATGTTTTCAACTATCATTTATCTGTGCTCAAATACAGTTATATAGTAGGATGCAAACAGTAGACATATTATTTATATTGCTTTTGTAAGACTAAGCCTCTTAAGAGTGAATAAGAGATAAGTTGAAAGATATATCAAAATAAAAATATTACACCTAACTTGGAGGTTATCTATGAAATTGCTATGTGTCCTTCTGAAAGTTTTACTTCACACCTAGAAGTATTATTTTATTAATTATAATGTATCTCTGATAATTTTTAATATCGTATTAGTATCATGTTTGGATGAAGGCGCCTAAAAGATATATGAATAGGCTGTAATAAATGTTGTTTAAAATTTAACGTTTACATAATAAGGGAAAATTTGTACTTTTTTATGACAACTTAGCGATCGTCCTTGTAATATTATATGCTATTTATAATCTGTTCTATGACTAGTTCGGGGATAAACGATAATTATGAATTTGATATACTTCGTAGTCTACTATTGTTGTTTGCTTGAATTCGAAAATATGAGATTGTGCATATACAAGAATACTTTATTTGATTCTTTTTACACGATTTATGTTATAGACTTGGCTAATCTGTAAAATGTTTATATATTTGCTCAAATGTTAATACGTTTTTGACACACGTCAAAAGGGCATTGGCATTTGAGAATGGAATACACTAGTACTACACTATACACTAGTTCGGTTGTATAGTGCTCTAGGATCTATAGCTAGGCTTGTTCTATAAAGCCCAACTGCTCTCGTTACAGTTTGAACCGCCCTTAGGCGTTAGAAAATCAATCCACTAATGTAGGCATCTTTTCCGGATATTATCTCACCGACTAACTCTATAGGCAAGTCAAAGTTTAGTTTTTGCTTCTCTAGATTCCGCGTCGACTCGAATTTTAACCGCTATACATATCTAAACGGTATTGAGGTATTATTAGGTTTCTAACAATTGCCGTAGATGTAGATCTGTCACTATAGGTATTTAATAAATAGTTTCTTTTTTTTGTACAATTTTAATTCGAATTTCTTTGGTGTTTTTCTGTCTCGACGTTTCCCTTTTCCTTTTTTTTTAAATCAGTTGTATTTCCATTGATGTATGTATAAGTTGTCCTTGTTATGTTTTGTAAAATGATTATGATTTTTTTTATTACTATTTTGGTATAGTTGTGTACCAAATCGAAATCGTGTCCAAAGAGAGGTGGGTGTGTGTGCGTGCATGTGTGAGTGTGTGAGAAATAAAATTATCATAAAAAAAATTATACAAATCGAAATGTTTATTGTATTTATTGTTGGTAACGGATGAGGCCATGGTAACCGCATTTGTATTACCTTTTAAGTTATTTATTTCAACTGTCGGTTTAGATTTTTGTCCCGTGTGCATGTAGGGGGTTTTTTTTAAAAATCCGCATCTTGAAAATTCTTGATACAGTCGAAGGCCAAAAATGCAATAATTCTGCCCCAAAATTAATGTAGCACAAATTTTCTAAAGAACCTATTGAACATATTGCATATTGGCGAAAATGTAATAACCTTGTAAATACTCCTTCACGAAAGACTAATTACTTTTAGAGCGGAAGTCGTGTTTTTTTTAATACTATCTCCCGCGGCCCACAAGTTTTGGATGCATTTACTATAGTTTCAATATCTATCCTTTTTGTACTTGGAAAGACGGTGTATTGCCTCTTGTGACGGTCTGAAGTTTTATTAATATTAAGGTTAAGCCGTGTACATTTAGTCTTTGTATGAGCTAAAAAATACTTTATAAATTGTAGCGTTGAGACGGTTCTTGAGGCGGTTGCAAGAGTGAGACGGTTGCGTTGATTTGATCTGTCGGAGAGTATGCTTGGAATATATCTTTAGTGAAATGAAGTTCATAAGTCATATAATACGGGTTCTGCAAATCTTGTGTACCATCGAGTGCAAAAAACGCCTTGTAAAGTATCAAAATAAATCTCATGTTCAATAAACTGATTGGGAAAGTTGTTCGAAACTAGGACGGGCAGTGAGAGCGAGACAGAATGGTTAAGACTGCGGTGTGAGTGAGAGAACCATATTTATTTCCCGGACTGTTTCTTACGTTTACGTTTGATTACGTTTGACATGTATTTAAGTTGATTGAATATTTTTAATATGTGAATGGGATATTTTTGTAAAAACACTAAGGTGTTGCGATACACGATATTTTTATTCACGAGATATGTTTCATTTTAAGTTTCGTTTCAAATCGAAATGTTTGACATTTTATTATATGGCCATGTCTTGTTCCGGTGGTTTTCAATGAACCACGTAATCATCGCATCCGTTTGACTCGTAAATAAAATGGAGCGTAAACTACGAGCCGAAATTGGAGCAATTGGGGATGTGTTATGTGAAAGAGGGTCTTGCATTGGACTCAAACATAACTTGGACTTATTTCGCAGCCTCGTTATTAAGTATTTACCGCGTTGATGGCACAGAAGATTGTTAATTAATTATTATTATATTGTATTTATAATGATGTTAACATAATGTCTAGAAGTGTATTGGGATAAAGTATATTGTATTTAATAGAAGATTTGACTTTGACCTCAACCCACGCGAATGTTTGTGGAGAAATAAACATAAAAATTTATAGCTTAGCTAACGAGATCTTATATTAGTAAAAAGTGATATAATGTACGGCATTCACTTTTTAATTTGTTAGTTTGCAGGGGCAGAATTTCTGAATTTATTTAAGATGAAAGTTTATAATTATTTTTATTAATTCCTCTGCCCATCAACGCGCCTAGCGATCTCAACTTTGTGTTCAGTTCTATCGGTAAATTGGAATTTTTACCGATCCATCATTTCCAACGAACATTACTCTATTGTAATGACGTTGTGACACATCTAGAGTCTGGAGTTATGTCTCTCGATGTGTTGGGGGCATTACTGGGTCCGTGCAAGACCGACATACGACTGATCGGAGGCGTGGGTTATTATACGGTAGCTTTTAATGTGTACGTTTAATGTAAGCCTTTAGGGATGTTGCGACGTTCTCCTTTTTATATAAACGTGAAACTTAGCTAGTAAGTTAGGCTAGTCGAAATTTACTTAGAAGCAGCGATGAACGGAACGTAAATTTACTGCAGCTCTTTATAATATGCACGGTGGTTTTGTTAATGTTTCATTTACTCTATCCACTTTTGTTGTGTATGCTACTTTCAAATTACCTCTTTTTTTAAGTCATGGCCAGTTTAAGTATTAAATACTCGAATTACCCGTATGTATATGAATATTGTCTTTGTACGATTAAATGAGTAAAATAATGTTTTTATTTACACAAATAAATATTGTGGGCAATGATCTCATATTGTTACTTTGCTTTTTTGCACTCAACGTATCATTCATTCGTTCATTGTTCGCCGAGTGCATTCATCCGGTCACTTCGTTCTTCGCTGTATGACAACGCTCCCGTAGTTGGGCTGCATTAGTTTCTGTATCGTGAAAATGAGCTGTCATCGCTTTTGCGTAGTAAAATCTTACAAATACATATATCGTCAGTTTTAACATCATTCATTCAATTTCTAATTGCTTGGTGCAGAGGCAGTTGAGGAAGGATGTATTTCTGTAATATTGTACATGTTACATTAAATAGGAAGAGGTTTACGAGTTCTTTGCATTCGTGATTTGTTAGAGATTTTTTTATATCATTAATAAAGCTTAAGTGAAAAAAAAAAATACGACTGATACTCTGTTTAGGCTTTCACTGATTTGGCATTAATTCATTTCTGTATATGATAATCATTAATATTTGTTCGGTTTGGGTAAAGTTGGGTCAGTAACCGTTTTCTCTTAAAACTTTCATCACTAACATTACGTTACCTAAACATTGTTTGTCTCATCTGGTACACATAGTCACTTCTATATTTAAATCTTTTAATCTTATTGTAAATGTTGGAAATATGTTCTTTGGAAATATAATTTTGTAATTTTATTGTTTGGTAAATGTGTTAAAGAAACTTGTCAATGTATGCTAGTAGAGAGACGAGCGGGACGAACGCATATTCGTGTCTCTTTCATCCCATTTCATAGAATTGCATCTTCTCATTAAAACTCATACATCACTTAAGAGCGATGGCCTCTAATCAATTGACATGTAAGTGCGCTTCTTTGCTTGTTTGTAAATATTATATTAAGCATTTGTACTTCGCGCAAAATTCGCTCCATCTATTGTAGCGTGTAATTCGGTATCTTTAATTCTTTTGTACCTAAACATTAGCGGCTGTATAACTGATAATATTGGTTCTATTCTAATTATTATTTTTGTAAATAAATAATGCAGGTCATGTAATACAATATTTTTGAAAATATACCAATATTTAGAAACACGATTTATCATTTATGTGCCCCTCAGCCTTAACATAAATGAATTTGGGAAAATGAGAGCTGGTGTTTTTATATAGTTTATCACATTGACTGTACATGTCCTAATGCCTTTTTTATTTGAGAAGGTAACTAGCGAAATGGCGGTTCCTCCTGGTGTTAAATGACAACCGCCGCCCATCGACAGTTGCAACACCCATAGTGTTGCAGATGCGTTAGCACGTTATAAGTGGGCGTAGCCAACTTCACTCAACAGGTGAAACGCAAAAGTATAGGCACTACACTAGGCACCGGGGATCGAACTCGAATTCCTCGAGTATATTTAATAAATGTGAACGCCTGGAAAATGAGCTATCACGGCTAATATAGTTACTAATCAGGACTAAAGTTGTGAAAATGGCAAAAAATATACGTTTATGTTACGTTGTTCAACGGAACATACCAAAAAATAATAGGTCACACGTTCATTTATAACGTTGTTCTACTAAAAATTCAGAAAATATGTATGACATAAACGCATGTAGCACTTTTCAACGAAAAATCCATAAAA